GTTTGTTTCTGTTTCGTGATTATTGCTTTCATTTTCGTTTGCCTTTTTGGTATATCCTATCTTTTGTTTATGCGGTATAATTACAAGATGGCATGTTTCTTCTCTGATTAAAAACTTATGGATATTTAATGTTTGTTCATCTCTCAAAAAATTTCTTGACGTAAGCGTTAGAAAGATGGGTGCAAAACCCAAGTGCTAGATTTCAATTCGCTAAATTGTTAAACCTTCGATTTTTGTGAGGTTATCCTAATCTTCGGGGGTAGATTGTTACGAACAGACAGGGGTTGGAGAGAGAGCATATCGATTCGTTAGAATGGTTTTTTACTTTCTCGAGTGGCTGAGTTACATTTAAGAAAAACTTAGTCTTATTTCATTGGGGTTCTGATTTGAGATCAAGGGTTGGAGAATAGTAAATCAAACCGCAAGGTTCAGGTATACTTAGAACACAAGTAGATCGTTGGATACCATTTAGTTTTTGTTTGTCTTAAGATGTATTTAAACTTGGGTCAATTAGGAGGAGGGGCTCATGTGAAGGACGAGTAACCGAAGTTCTTCACTGTTTATCCTAATTAAATTGGTAAATTCTTCAAAAAGTTTCAATTACTCCGGGGTCGTATTTAAAGGTGGGAAAATGAATCGAAGTTTAAGTTCCTTAGACACTATTTCTAAAAAAAAGGGGAAAACAAAATTGTTTAATTGATCCAAGAAAAGCCTCGATGATCGGATACTTAGAATGACAATAGTTTGAAAGTTTGAGATTAATTTAGAGTTTCAAAGATCTATGGATAGCCTTGATGATCTGATAAGAAGAAATGTGTAGGTTTTAATGAATTAAGGATAGGCCTTGACAAGGTTTTAAATAAGAGGTCGATGTTTTATGGGAAAGTTAGATTTTAAGTTTATATGAGGATAGTTTCCTTATTACTTATGCAGAATGTTTTAGATGAAGAGAAACAAAAACAGAAAATGAAAGTCCTGGAGAAGCAAGGAACTTTTTATAATTTTAATAAAAATAATTTAAATAAGACTACAAACTAATTATTTAATTGTATTTTTTGTTGAATGATATATAAAATTTGAAAACTATAAAAATTTCAACGTTACTGCAGATTTGAAAATTTTGAAATAGATGACTGATTTGAGTCGACTGGTTCATATATCATTATAATTTTTTTATCACAGAGAGATATATGGCTTTGGAACTAATCTTACTACTTTGTTTTTTGCAATTTATGTTAGTGAATGAAAATGTACTCCATTAATTTTTTTCAGAGAATTAATCGTTGCAGTCTCCTTTTTTGTTTCACGATGTAGAGGCTTGGTTTGTCGTTTGGATTGTGACCTGGTGTCAGCCTGATTGTTCATTTGAATCGATTAGACTTATTGATACGTGGAAATTAGCTAATTGAATTTTGAATTTTGTGTGGTGCTTTTGATCTTATTTCCAGTTTTTTTTCCAAATCTGAGTAAAAGAGGTCTGTTCGAGACTCTTTTTGGTCGCACCAGATCGGTTCAAGTCCGGGGTGGCTTCCTCATAGAGTAACTTCAGAAAAGTACACCGTCTGTTCGTCACGCTGGTCATTTCATTGTCGGCCGGATAGATTCGTGCAACTTCTTAGTCTAATACCAATTCTAATCGCACTCTTATATCTCCTAGTCTCATTAGATCTAGTGTATACTGGTATTATTGCGAGGTGTAGAATCAAGAACTGTTCTTAGGAAGAGCAACTGGCTGCTAGGTTAAACTTATTCTGTTCTGGCATTAACTATAGATAGTTTCAGCCTCACAGTTTATAGTAAGTTTTAGTCATGGATTGGTTAGTTCTAAGTATTTTCGAGAGATAGTTATCAAGAATATATTATTCTATAAAAATATTTGTTTTGATCTGGTTCCAGTAATGTTGTGTCGCTTTTACTGCTAAGTGTTCAATGACCTGTAAAAATTTGGTTCAAATTAACGTCTCCTTCAAATCTTTTTAGGGGGAGGATGCTAACTTGATTCTTCGTCGGAACTTTTGTCAATTCAGAATCGAGCTTTTTACAGCAGATTGAAAATTTATTCTACTCAATTATTCAAATGAGACAAAGAGTTTAAAAAAATTGGGTTATTTTATGGCTCGAAGAATTTTTCGCTCCCCTCTCGTAAAAATTTTGAAAGCCAAATGAAAATTTCACATAACCAAAACATGTATTTGTTTCAATAAAAGACATGGCTACAAGAAACGTACAAGAGGCTCAGGAAAGCTACAAATCAAAACCCATTCGTAGGAAACCAGAGAGAATCGAATCCCACTTTCATTGAGACACTGCGTGTTCTAACCCCGATCTGATCTACTTAACAACCCCCATAGTATCTACTGCCCCTGTAGAAAACTGCTCCTATCTATCGCCCGCCCACTAGAGCAGTAAAAAACAGTAAAACACTAGTGCATTCTTTTCGAAAGTTTAACTTCGCTGAATTGCAAAATCTGTCAAAACTTGCTACTACTTTGTTTTTTTTGCAATATAGGGTTCTTAGAATGAAATGAGCAGATACAAGGAGGTGAGAATTGGTTCGAGCTCATGATTTCAGTCAATCTTTTTTTACCTTCCGAGATGTTATTATAACTTAAGTGTGTCTCCCCAAAGCTCCGAATATTAACCCGGGTTGACCAAAATGTGCAACCATACGTCGCACCATGCATGGTTCCATGGAAGCCATGAAAGCCGACGTATTTTTATGTTAAAATAACAGATTTTCCATGCATGACATGACGTATGATTCCACATTTTTTAAAGTATGGGGGACTTCAAATTAGACAATATTGATACTTTTACTAGGGCTGTTGATAATTTATTTGTCACCATGGAAGCTTGCAATGTATGGTTACTGTGGTATCATGCATGGCGCGACGTATGGTTACTATGGTACCATGCATGGCGCGACGTATGGATACCATGGAAACATATATGGCGCTACATATGATTAACAAAGAACCCTGTTTGGCGCGACATAGAAACTGACTAATCAAATAAATTCAATATTCTCGTGGGCATCCAAAAAGTGCTCTGAACGACCTCAAGGAAGTTGGCAGTAAAAAATCTTTTTCCGCCGTTCAGAGCAAAGTTTTGGTTCCCAAGCAAAGCACATTTTTATCCGATATAGAAAACTTAACCCGATGACGCCGGAAAACATACCTGGTGATGGCTGAATAACTTTCATAAAACTGTCAAAAGCAAAACAAGCATTTCAGAAATATGAAAGATTATTAACACATAAAATAAAATAATTACCATCAACAAAAACAATTCAACAGAGGCAAAGCAGAGCTTCACATCACTTGCGATACAACAAAATCGTCGCAAACTAGAAAATAGATTCTGAAAAAAAATACAAGAAAAAGTCAACAGAAAACTTTTTTATGTTTTTGATTCCAAAAAGGCGCTAAAATACTCAAAAAATTTAGGTTGACCAAAAGAAAACTAAATTGTTTGAGAAGCACTAACCAGCAGTACTTAAAACAAAATCAAGATACAATTTTAAGCTAATTGTTAAGTGAGTGAATTGTTCTGTTACTTGTTACCTAAATGTGTATCAAGGCACTTTTAATTTTTATGACGGCGTTCTATTGTAACGAAAACATTTTCGATTCATAAACCAGCGAAAAAAATTATATCTTTATTTCTGTAACTACTCTAACCAAACGGAAGGTGGAGAAACATGACATAATTCAGATCTAACTACTAAGTTTTTTGAATTTAATATCTAAAAATTTGTGTTTCACAACAAAAAGACAAAGTACTACAGGTTTTGACTCGTTTGCTTGTTTTTAATTGGTTTCTTGTGTAAAAATTTATTTTCATTGTTGTTTTTTCTAAAAACTCTAACTTTAGACCTTTGATTTGAAAGTCAGAACAAATTTTGTTCTGAGGTTTGATCTTGTGCGCTTCAAGGTATCTGATAAAGTTATAGAAAAAAATTTCAAATTGAAGAAAAATAAAAAAACCTTCAGAGTTTCTTTTTTAAGCAAAATTCACCTCAAAAGCGACTGTTTTTAACAAAATATTGAATCTCAGTGTAAACGCTAAAAAATATAAAGTAAATAAAATCAATAGACCGGCAGAAGATGTTAAATTTGGTTTTATATATATAAAAAAACTTTTTTCGATGTTAGAACTGTTTTAAACTTTTAATTGTTTTACTATTGAAAAATTATCCTAATTTAAAACTATGTTGTGATAATCAGAAACGGTCTGTTGAAGCAAAATTTTGTTTTTAATCCTGTTCCATGATGTGCCCAAAAAATTGTTCCGAAATGAAAAATTTTTCTAAAAAAAACAATCAAAAAATTTTTTTTTCACTTTTCTTCACACGTTTTTTGTCCAAAAGTATTTTCTCAGCTTACTTGTCAATATTTGAAACTGCAATCAAACCCCAAAATTAAACAACAAAATTTGGTGTTGGTTGTGATATCGCATGCTCAATTAAAGTTGTTTTTGTATGGAAACATCATTTCCATAAATAGCACCATATAGGGTGCGACGTCTAGTTTGCATGGTGGAAAAAAGTTAAAATCTAATAAAAGTGTATTTTGCACTACAGATACTTTTTCTCAGTCATTTTTGTCAATTAACCACTATTTTTACGGTTTTCTGGAGAAAAAAAAATATGGTGAAAAATCTCTTCCATACGTAGCACCATATATGTTGCGACGTATGATTTGTATGGTGAAAACTTTTGATATTTTACCAACAGCTTGCATAATGATGAGAAACCGTTTCAATACTAATCTACTCCGTTAAAAAGCTATTTTGATGTTTTTCGAAACCAACGTATGTGCTACGCATGACTAGTCATTTTCCATACTAATCATGCATGGATGTGCATGGTTGCGCATTATCTTCTATGGTGGGCAGCCCGGGAAAATTCACCGATTTTTTTTGCTCTGTAGATATATTTTGCTTTGATTTTTTTAAATTTTAAATTTTAATTTTCCTGAATAATCTTTAAGTTTCTTTAGATTGCACACTTTCAACTTCTTTGCGCCTGATCTCACTGACGCAAAAATTTCCACGGCTGAACACATGAGCCAAGTAGATTGCTCGGCTATAATAAAAGAGCCAAACTTCTGCGTCGGAAACCCCTTCTTCTGTAAAAGAGCTGAATGGTATAAGAAGAAAGGCAAGCCAAACGACGGCTTTCTTTGTACGCTGTTTACTGGATCGGACAAGTGTGCCGTGCATCAGTATGCGGACTGGTACGATTGGTTGTTTAGCGACCTGCGACAGGTGCCAATGAGTGTCCTTGAAATAGGAATCGGTTGGGCCAGCCCAAACTTCGGTTTTTTAGGCACCAAAAGAGACTGGGTTTTCGGCACTTCTCAACGAGGCTGGAGAGATTATTTTTCCAACTCGCAGGTTTACGCTGCGGACGTCCATAATGAATTGTTGTTCGAAGACGAGCGAATCAAAAGTTTTTGGGTCGATATTTTGAACAAAAACACGCTCAAAGCAATGAAAAACAAAATTGGTACGCAGCTTGACATTCTAATTGACGACTCGCTTCACACTTTAGAAGGCCAGGAATCATTGATATCTGTGGCCTAGGATTGGGTAAAACCGGGTGGGTTCTACATAGTCGAAGACGTGAAAGCTAAAACAATCTGCTCGGATTCTCTACCTTCGCTTCTGAAGCGAGGCATCAACGACTTCGCTTTTGTTCAGACGGAACCTGAAATGACAGATAGTGTGTTGCAAATCATCAGAATACCGTATACCATCAATGAAGCAAGCTAAAGTAACAAGTTGTCGGCAGCTCTGCTCATTGTGAAACTGGGTAAAAATTGAACTAATAGCTAGCCTGCTAATAAGTTTTGACAACAAATAATTAACTGCTATCAAGTGATTCATTACCTGATTTAATTATTCATGTCATCAACTTTTTTGTCACCATGTCAGTGAAAGTTGTTATAGTGTTATTTTGATTATATTTTATGTTTATATGATTCTGTACATATTTTGTCAAGTGATAAGAGAAATAAAGGTTGTCGTATCCAATCAGAATACCTTTTTTGGGAAATCAAGTCGCCAAAATATGTTAAAGTATACACAAAAGAATTTGCAAAAAAATGACCACAGGTTGTCTGCTCTAAAAATAAAAAAATTTTCCGATATAAATAACAAAAGAAAAACAAATAATAAAAGTAGCATTTCCACAAGGAAGTTCAAATGCTTTTCAATTGCCAGTTTTCCCATAATCATCAAATTTAATCCAAAATTTTGTCAAGAAACCACTGAGATCTGATTGGTGAAAATTTTTCTCAAAAATTCTAGATTTTTCGAAGGAATTTTCGTAGGCGATGACGTCGGTACCATAAAAAGAAGTTTGCGTGGGATGTGACGTCTGTTCGGTTCAAAGAATGACGTCATGAACATAAAACGATAATTGCGTAGGCGATGACACATTGTTAGTATAATTACGCTCATTTTATTGGGTTAAATTATTACTCTTGTTTGCCAATTTGAAACAGTCAATTGAATTTTACTTCAAATTTTTCAATTCGTTTCTTCGCAAAAAGAAGAAAGTATTTTCATTTATTCAATTGGTACTTTGAAATATGAAATTCGGAACATTTCCAAAGTCCCACTTTATTTTTTTTAGATAATGCCTGCCCTTAACCGCAACGAGAAAATTAAGTTTGGAGTTTGTGGATTTATGTACATTCGCCAAAACCCAGCTCGACACCCGAAAAATTGTTATAAAGGGGTTATTTCTTGTCCTGATTGTACATATTTCAACAAAAAAAAAATCAACAAAAAATGAACTGTCATATGGCCAAGACGCATGATGCATCAACTTCCGAGCAGTCAAAGGTTTGTTCTTCTTAGGAACAAAGGTTGATAGGTTGCTACTCTCTCCAACAGCATTGCAGAAAGGAACATGGAGCTAAGCAACGGAAACCAAGTGATACGGTGGCTTACTTGAACAAGATCGTAGAAGAAGAGGGGATAGTGAAAATTGAAGGAGAAATTTAGTGATTGCAAACTTTTTCTGGTGGATACTGGGTGACATAAGGTACTTAACTTCCAAATGTCCAAGTTAGTTACCAAGGTTATCAATGAGAAGCTCCGAGAAGTCTTCAACAAGCTCGATTCTGCCACTAAAATCAACATTGCTCTGGGGCTTGTTCTTTGAAAAAATAATACCGGTGAACATCGATATTTTTGACGCCCATGAAAAAAAAATTTAATTGAAAAATCCAATTTGCTGTGTACTAAAGCAAACTTGATAACAATCCAAGGCGAAGTAAAAAAAAATTGATATTGTGGAGCAATGTACCCAAAAATATCAAAACACAAAGTGGCGATTCATGTTGATTGATGACATTAAAGTTTTTGCTGCTTTGCTCAAAAAAATCTCAATGAAGTTTTCGGACTCTGTCTTACCTGAAACTTTACTAAAAAACCATTATGTCTGGTTATGATCTTAAAAATTTTTGTGGAGCTTCAGCAGAAGATTTACCTGTTGTCAAGGAAATTGTGGAAAGAAACATTTTCATATACGATTTCGATATCCAAGAAGGTGAATATGTAGGAGAACTAGCTCGACGAAGTATTGGAAGATTTGGTCAAACAGTCAAACTACTGAGATTCAACCATCATATCGTTCATCGAAATGATATAGATAGCTGTTTTGAGAGCTTCCAACGTCCCAGTCAGTTGTGACACTTTCTTCAATAAATCCGACAATTTTAACAAATATCTCCTGAGATGTAAGGATAGAGTGAGACATCTTTACCCGAAGAATGTGTATGAGCTTCGCAAAACCTTGTTTGAATAGCTAGAAGGATTCAATATTCCAGTTTCTGAAGAACACAAATTTTTAATGACCTAGTAGTTTTTGATTTTGGATCGTTTTGTGTTCCTACAGAAGAACTAAAAGAGACACAAACTACAACCGGGATAGGAAAACATGTTTCAATTTTAAGTTTCTGTATCATCAAATCTGATTGATGAACCCTTCTTTCTGTACAACGAAGATCCACAGAGCTGTTGGTTGAGCAAACTCGAGCTGTTGGTTGAGCAAAGTAAGCTGGATATGGGAAAAAAACTAGATGTCGAAGTAGCTGTCTATGAAAAAATAAAAAAAATCTTTGATCAATTGAATGAGCGAGGCAGGAACTATTCAGAAAAACATTGAATATAAAGATGAGTGTGTTGAAGTCTCGGTCAAACCAGTTGTCAAGCCAGTTTTTGAGAATTCTGAAAAAAGTCAAATCATTGATTTGAAACAACATCTTGAGAGATATTTAAATACTTCGCCTATTCTTGGATTTAATATTGGTAGATATGATTTGAATTTGATCAAGTGCTACTTGTTACCCTATTTGATTTGCGATAGAGAACAAGAAACATCAGTCATCAAAAAAGCGAATGATTCCATTTCCTTGAAATTTTAAGATGTACAGTTTCTTGACAATGAAAATTCTGAGTGGGCAACTACTCTGAACTCTTTTCTCAAAGCCTGTAAAGCTAGCAAAACGAAAAGATTCTTCCCCTATGAATGGTTTGACGACCCAGCAAGCTTGATTTTGCGTAATTTTGAACAGGTCAAAATTGTATTTCACCCATAAACTTAGAGGTTTCATTACTAAAAAACGAAATTAGCCACTTTTCTCTACCCGTTTTTTCAAATAAAACCAAACCAATTTTGACAGGGCAATTTTCAAGAAAACTGAAAACCTGAAAATGTGACCAGGTAACGTACAAATTTTTTTAAAAAATCCGAAGAGCATACCAGCTTTTATCACAAAAGTAAGATGTTACCCTTTATGCGGGGAACATCTTAGGATCAGATCAAAAGAAACATTAACCTCAATATTGGCGCGCACAATTGGAGAAAAAATCTTCCAAAAAATCTCTTAATAGTTTATCCTCAAAAAATAGGGCGTAACTACTTCTGCCGGAAGATTAGCACAACTTGTTCTTCTGATTGATTTTTAAATCTCACAATTAGCAGGTCAAAAATGCAAAAAAAATGTCTTTGACGAAAACCATAGTTTTATTCCCAAAACTTATAGGTCTCACCATGTTGTTTCGGTTGATCACTTGATGACAGATTTGGCAGGGTTTGTATGAATTCCGATTTGGCAGGGTAACTTTTGAGAAAAAATGAAGAAGATAAAAATATGGGTCAAATAATCTCCTAATGATTTTTTCGAAAGCTGTAGAAAGTAAAGCTAGGTAAAAAAGAGGGTTAAAAATAGATTGTAAAGAAAATTGTAGTATTAATTTTTTTTGAACTCAAATTCTTGGAAGAAACAAAAAGACTAAAGCGTCTCAAAAAAATAAATTAATTTGATAAAAAGTCAAATCCCATACATTTTCATAGTAGCTGCTTTTAACGAACAGGAAAGTTTTTGCAAACTTTGGTTTTTTCCGTAATAGCTCTTCCTTGCCTCAGTAAAGAAACAGATATTATTATGACAGGGGGCTATAATGGGTAGAGTCCCATTTTATACCGTTCCTCCCTCCATCAAGGCCATTTTGTTCATCAATTTTTTTGACGTTTTACAAAAAAAAGTCAATGATTTTACTGATGAGTTTTTATAGGGTAATGACGCCACCAAACACTTTTTGTTTCTCTTCCCCCAACTTCAAATGTCAATTCTGAAAAACTTTCTAAGCATTGTCATAATACGATGCAAATTGGCATGGCGAACAAACAAACATTTATTCTTCATACTTTTGGCTCACAATTTTCGATTGAAACAAAAGCTGAGTTTTACGAACTAAAATTTTTGCATGTTTTTGTTTTGTTGATTGGTTCAATTTATTGTTATATACTAAAGAAAGTAAGTAACGCAACCAAACATTTTATAGGATTTTCGAATTTCCCTAAAGAAAGCCATTACACATTAAACTTTTTGGCTCTTTTCCAGTTTCCCCCCTTTCAAAATACCGAGTTTTATGTTTGTTTTACGTGTTATTACGGCTAAATGCGTGATGTTACGCTGTAAAGTATGAAGAACAAATCTGTTCACAGTTGTCGATTTGTTCACCACGCCAAATTTCATTGCATTATAGCAACGTTAAATAAGCTTTTCAAAATTGAGTTTTAAAGGGGGACTGGAAAAGAGCCAACTTTTTCAGTCTGTAAGTGAAAACAACAAGACTGCTTGTATCAGAGCGAAACCCTGAATGTTCCGACTACCTTTAAAGGTTTATGGAGCAGTAATAACATTAAAAAGTAAAATGTAAAAAAATGAATTTTTTTTTCTGAAATTTGAAATTTTTTAAATAAAAATCATCTCCCCACACGCCCCACATTTAAAGTACAAAAGGATAGATTCCGCTCCTTGTAAAAATTAATCAATTATGGCAAGCAAGCTTCTTTCAACCAACCTGGAACGATTTCTAAGACGGATTAAATCTCCGCTTACGCGTTAAAAGCGCGAAATATATCACGCGTAATTGTCACAAATTGGCCAAAATGGCTATCTTTAAACCCCCACAATTTTGCGAAAAATGATCACAGGTGAAATATCTTTTCAAATTTGAGCTCAAGACAACAATACCTTTTGAATGATATAAGAATTCCGTCTAAAATGGTTAGTTAAAAAGTCGAAATTTGTCTGAAGAAAAATAAACCCACCCCGAGCTTAAATATTCCGTTACTTTCGTATCGAAAGTCGAAACAACATTTTCAAAAATTTAATGGTCAAGCCAATTAAAACTTGATTAGGAGAAAATGTGGATTTTCCAAACAGATTTTACCAGTGAGTACGTAAAATTTTAATTTAGGGTATGGCAATCTGTTAGTCTAAGGTCCGATTTTGTGCACAGTATCGCAAATTAAACTGAAAAGGTTAAGCTTACAGCGTCAAATCAAGATGTCATAAAAGTAGATTTTCAGAAATGAAGAAAAAAGTTTC